CCCAGAGCCTGTGGCTCTCAGGGTGGGCAGGCAGCCAGACAGCAATGCCACCAATCCCAGCATGAGGCATCTGTGGGAGCTGTGTCAGCACCCCCTGAGCTGCCCTGCCCACAGCCTGCCTGCCCCGAGCACCTTCCCATGGCCTTTCCCATGGCCACAGCAGCTGCCAGCCGCTCCGACGGGCCCCAGCCCGGCAGCAATTAGTGCTGTGTTTAATTGCCCTCTGCACTTGCACTGCAGTGGACCTGAGCACAACCCCTGCAGCACTGGACGGGCAGAACAAGGCCTGTTTCAACCGACCCCAGCACCTGGGACCAGACCAGAGCCGCCGTGCAGTTCTCAAAGACCAAAACAGCAAAATTCCCTTCTACTTACAGCAAAGTCTCCACTTTCCCTATGTAAAATGCCAATACAAAAACAATTAAGCTTTGGCCATCCTGCCTGGTTTTTCACTGCTCTCACTGAGGTGAGCTGAGGCTAAAAGCTTTTGGAAAATCCCACCTCATGTCTTGAAAAGTCAGGAAAGAAATTGGATAGCTGAAAAATCCAGTAACACGAACAGAAAGAGAACTCTTGGCACAGCCCTGACTGTGCTGCATCTGCTCTAAGTAGGTTCATTTATTTCCATCCTGTAGCTCTCTCCTGCTATTTATAGCACCTGCCTTAATGAACTTTCAAGGTAGACACCCAGCTTGAGCATTCCTAAAGAGATGTCTAAATATCTTTGTTGCATTAATTTGATCTTTTTATGAATGGACCCTTCCAGTCAGACTGGCACTCCTCACTGGAAATCAACCTCATTCCAACCCCCTGCCATGGGCAGGGACACCTTCTACTACCCCAAGTTGCTCCAAGCCCTGTCCAATCCAGCCTTGAACACTTCCAGGGATGAGGTATCCACCACTTCTTTGGGCAACCTATCAAATGGGACATTGTCCACAATAAACTCTTCCTGCAAAGCAGGCACTCCAAGCTGGGAAGCAGGAACAGAAGTTTACCTGCTTCCAGTGGAAATCTGATCCATCCAGCCAAAACCTCACCTTCACTGCGAGAGATGCACTCCATGTGGAATGGCAGCACAAGCCTCAAACTGCACCTTAATGAAATCACTCCCTACAAACAGGAGTTTCCTCCAAAGCCACATCTGAGGGCTCAAGAGAGGATTTTGACTAAAACCCTTAAGAACTATTGCTGTTGGCTGCAAGAGGAATTCTCTGAGCCAACTGGAAACCTTTATAAAGCTCTGATATATCATCCTTCCCCTCTCTCTTTATATGGGTCCTCTTATCCCTGCTTTTAGGTATTCCAAAATTCAGATTCTGCAGTTATATTTATCAACGTGGCAACATTCTGACACCTCACAAAAATCAGGTTTTACTCTCTTCAGGGCTGCAAGCACTAAGAAATTCTATCCTTGACAGTAAGAATTTGTTACACCCACAAGGGGTTTTAAAAAGTCAGTAAAGTATTGCAGCACCTGGGTTTGGGCCAGGGAGGTGAGCCAAAGTGACTTGGAGGGCAACCAGACAATGAGAAAAAACCCCTCCCCAGATCAAGTGGAGATGCATTTCCTCATGGGAAAATCTCTGCACACCAGTAGTACAGAACGAGGAAGAGGGAAATGGACTCAGAGAACCTTCATCTGCCTTCCTTGTTCCTCCCTTGTCTCATCCCTTGCAAGCAGCAGCAAACCACACCATGCTCTTTGTGCTGACACAAGCTCCAGCTGACCCGACAAGGCAGAGCCTAAAAAGTGTTTCCTCCTGACTGGCCCTAAAAGGAAACCAAGGCCAGGCTGGCTAAAGGAGGTGCTTTTAGGTGAGAGGTCCTGGGATGTTTCACCTGGAAGAGGGATTTGTCATCGTCTGCAGTCCTGCCTGAGAACCAGGGTGTGAATGCCAAAGTTCCCTGAGAGCAGAGACAGCCCCGCAGGCCTGGAATGTCCTGAAAGGGCTCTGCAGAGGGAACACTGCCTTCCTGCCTCCTCCTCAGTCTGTCAAAGTATCCCTGTCTGGATCTGTGAAGGAGGCATGGTTCCCAAGCCGGCATTTCCCCAGGATAAAACCGCTCTGTACAAGTTCCACCTGCCCAGCTCTCTCCAGATGGGAGAGCTGAAGGTTGTCTGTAAGTACCAGAGTTTGGCTTGTTTGGCTCAGCTGGACACAGGCTAAAACAAATATAAGGACTGACACTTCCAAACTGCACCAATTCCCAAACACAGAGGCACAGCTAGACCGGTTTGGAAGTGGAACAAAACTTTTCTAGGGAAGACTTGCATTTCTGGACCTGTTTATTCTACTGCTGGAATCAAGGGACATGTTCCATCAGGTTCAGTTGCTGTGAGCAGCTTGACCCATTGAGTCAAACCCAGACTTGGTCAAAGTCTAATTGCAGAGTTTTCATCCAAGAAGCTGAGAAATCATTTTCAGGTGAGATATTGAAGCTTAGGCTTGTGGTCCTTAGGGACAGATCAAGAATTCCAAGTGATGCACCAAATCACAACTGGCTTAAGCTCTCTACTCAGGAAAAACAAAGGTCTCAACATACAGGACAATCAAGTTGTCTCCTGAACTTCTACAAATTATTTTAACTACATTATTAAAGATTTCATAAATCAAGCTCTATATATTTGTCTTTGTATTAGAAGATAAACTAAATCACCCAAGCTGAATTTGGGTGATTAGACAGTGTCTAATACTGGCCAAGGTGATAACTGCAAAATCAACAAAGAGAAGGAGCTCTTCGTATAAATTAAGGATTTCTTAAACTGAGATACGTTGGACCAAAACTCACAGTGTTTTGATGTCAGACCAGATTTTGCTGGTTTTAAACCACACAGCTCTCACACATATTTCAGCTTCTGATATTCCACACTCTCTACAGACAGCCTTAAATGTATGTAGCACAGTTCATTTCAGCTTTCTCCCAATTCCATTAAAATTGCTGTGCAATATTTCCCAGCACTTAGTTTCCCACCCTTGATCAATGCCTACTATGAGATGAAGATTAAAACCCCAGGGTTCAAACTGAGGTTTCTTGCCAGGATTGCCAGCACTATACTAAGCTGGTACATGCTGCCTGGAGAGAAATGGGCTTCTGTCAGACACACTTGTGTGACACAGCTGGTGGAGAGAAAAGAAAGGCATCACAGAAAGCAAAAGAACAAAGTTCAGGTCAGCTCTGAAGACAAAAGTTTCAGAAGAGGAAAAAACCCAGGGATATGAGGTAACTTGTAATTCAAGACAGTAATCTGAACTTGCCCTCTCCTTTACAGAGCTCCAAGCTACATGAGCCAGCTCGTAAAAAGATCTGGCCACCAGCACGAAACAGCAGGTCCCTGCAAGGACCTGGAAAAGTATCTGGATACCTGAGATGGTGAACAACAGAGAAAGAGCCCAGGGATGGGGGATGAATGCTACTGCACGGGACACCTGGAATATTTATGCGATTCCGCTCCAAAAATCTGCAGTGCAAAGAGGTCAGGGTGGAAAAGCCTATGGGAAAACTGCAGATGGAAAGTGATGGGAAGACTGCATATTCTGACTTGCAGGTTAAGTGCAGGTAAGAACATATTACTGCATAGAAACAACAGAGGAGAAAAACCACCTCAAACCCCTCCTCAAGTGACACAGACACAATGATGGGCAAAATGAAAGGCAGGACATGAAAACCTGATGGAAGAAATGGGTTTTCAAACACAGGCACACTCAGCTCATGGAAACAATTCCCCTAGGATATGATACATTCAGAAGCAAAAAAGGAATTTCTACAGGCCTGGTCACCTGCACGCTAAAGAACAAAGGTATAAACACAAAAATTAAGTTTAGAACATTTGATTTCTTGAAATAATGATATCTTTTGGTATAAAACCAACTCCTGGCTTCTGAGCGCTGACAAAAAACCTTCTTTGGGACAACCAGGGAACAAGAGCTGGGAAGAGCAAATGGAATCTGTGACTTGCCAATACAAAACAAAACAAAAAGAAAAACAGCACTTTCCAGGTGCTGTTCTCTGAAGATGGTAACCAGGCTAAAGACATGACTGATCTGCCTGCCCCACGTTACTGTCTCTATCTACAGCAACTACCCAGCAACATGACTTCAAAATGAGAAATCAATGTATTTCTTCAATCAAGATGCAGTAGTATGGATCTCTCACACAGGAAGCATTTTTCCACTTACAAATGAAGCTCCAGCCATCTGGAATTATCCTGAATAATCTGAGCTGCATCAGATCCTGGGCTGCTCTGCCATACTCAACCCCATCCATACTGAACCCCATCAGCCTACTCATCTTCCCCCTGCTCCTACCAAAGCAGCCATTGATCTGTGCCCAGATTTCAGGACAAGCTTGTGGCCAACACAGAATACAGCAAAGGGAAGGCAACCCTGTGACAGTTTAGCACCAGCTAAAGGTCTCTGTCCTCTGCTTAACAATTCTAGTGGGAATAGAGGCACAGGGCATCCAAAACAGACCTCACCTGCCTGTCAATAGCTAGATATTCAATCCCTAAAAACACTCAAACATACAGCAAAGCTCCATTTGAGTCTTGTTTTTGTTTTCAAAACCTAGAACTGGTTAATTACCCAAGGGAAAGAAGCTGTTAGCACTGCAAGTTAGTGACACATGAGGCTGAAACCACGGGGTGCTGCAATTCCAGAGCGTGTGCACGTCCCAGAGCCAGGGCAGAAGCTGCAATAGATCTACCCAGGCACTACTCAGTCTTTGCCCTTGCTTGCTATCTCTTTACACACAGTGTCAAATTGCTCTTCAAACATTCAGCCTGTTCCTGCCTGGCATCCCTCGAGGGCCAACTCAGGTGATACAGAAGATGAAATGTCTGCTCTGGCCTGTGCTTTTTCCAAGCCACAGCAGCTGGCTCAGACCACTCCAACCCTGCAACGTGAGACCATTGTTTTTGTGGGTCAACTTTCGTCCTCCACGAGCAGATCCTAGACAACAGAACATTGTAAGGACTGACAAGTGGAACCAGTACTCACTGAGTGGTTTAAGGATGCTGCTGCTTGTCTCATCAGCGTTTTCCACGTCTGATTTGTCCGAGTAGTTCTCCGAGATTTTCTCCTTTTCTTTCTTTTCTTTGTGCCCAGCTCTTCTTCTGTGACGCCTCCTCCGCCTGTAGCTCTTCGGCACGTGGACCCCGATGTAAATGGTGTGGTGACCTGGGGAACACAAGCACACCAACGTTAACTTCAGCACTGTGCAGTTCCAAATGGTTTGGGTTGGAAGGGACTTAAAGATCATCTCATTCCAAAACCCTGCCACAGGGACCTCTTCCACTAGGGAAGGGACACCTTCCACTAGCCCACGCTGCCCCAAGCCCCGTCCAACCTGGCCTTGGACACTTCCAGGGATGGGACAGGCACAGCTGCTCTGGGCAATCTGTGCCAGGGCCTCAGCACCCTCACAGGAAGGATTTCTTCCATATGTCTAACCTAAACTTCCCCTCTTTCAGTTTGAACTCATTACTCTTTGTCCTATCCCTGTTTCACTCCAGAAGGCAAGTGAACTATCCCTCTTAGCTGGCCAAATGTTCCGTAGTTCAGTTTTTCTTGTCTCCAGATGTGAGCTTGGAGCTCTGTAGCTACCATTTGGAGAAGTATTTTTATCCCATCATTTCTGAGAGCACGTGCCAGTGCAGACTCGGATAACTGTTGTCCTTGTGACTCATTTAAATACAAAAATAAACCCCACAGAAGGCCATCATAGTCATTCTGTAATATCGGACAGAGTGCTTTTCAAACACATTCTACACTAATTTTTCCATTTGTTTTACCAAATACACTGGCTGAACTTAACAGCTACCTTGTGCCAAGTGATTCAGTTTAATTGAAGAGCTTAGACCAACAAAATCTACATCACTTGACTGTGCAGTCCGCTGTATAACAAGTGTCAAAGTGCCATTAGGAGCCTCACACAGGTGCCACTATAGAGGTCCCATGCTCTAAGTACCATCAGGGTGTTGTTATAACACAGCAGAGGAGGAAGGACTACTCACACAAGCTCCTATCAACTCCTACTTGACACTTTCTAAAATAAAAATTCACAAGTAACAGAAGAAGTGCCCAATCTCATAAGCTGGCTGTAAATCCCAAGGATGCCCTTGCATTGAGACTGGGATTTCAAACTAAAGCACTTCAACTACACTTGCTAATGGTTGTGCCTATTTGTGTCTGATAAAAATGTTTTCTTTTCAGGGCTTTCTGCACTTCTGCCAGCTCGGGATGAATATCCTGTGCTTACAGAAAGCACTTAGACACTGTCTTCTCTGCCCAGATCATTCAGACATCTCACTGTAAGCTATAAAAGCAGCTCTTACAAAAGTAACTCCTGAGAAATGAGAGCTGGATTCTGTACTTTGGACCAAGTTGGGTTTCCCCTTTCCATCCCAGAGTGGCCAAAGGGAGTTTCAGATGAACAGACTGAGTAAACAAATTCATCTGAATGAATGACCCACAAACTAAACATGTGTCTCTAATTCCTCCTTGTGATAAACCCGTAAGTTTAAGTCTTGGCAACCAAACAACTGAAAATTCAGGCACAAAATACTCCATTTTCTCTAACTAACTGATTTGCCACTTCAAATTCCACACACTCCTGAGGCCAGCTGTGAGGCCTTTATTTTGCATGATTCAACCTTTATTTTGCACATTTGCTCATCTTGTTCCAGCCCCTGCCATGGGCAGGGACGCCTTCCACTACACCTGTCTGCCCCAAGCCCCATCCAACCTGGCCTTGGACACTTCCAGAGATGGAATAAAGAGGATTCTGGAGCTGAGCAGGGTTCAAAGTCAGGCAGTGGAACAGTGACAGAACAGGGTCCTGCATCTGCTGCCTCCTGTCAGAAGGGCCACCTCTGAGGAATGGGATCACACCGCAGAGGGAAAGGGCAGAGCCACAGAGACATCTGCAGCAACACCTCCCAGGCTGACTGGTGAGGATGCAGCTCAGCTCTTGCGTGCCAAAGGAAACCCAGAAAGCTCTTCCAGCAACTGGGAACATCAGCTTTAACTGGCAGATGGCCTGAGCACCGCACAGGGACGGGGAAGGGGAGATCTTATCTGAGCACCAGCAGGAGCCGGAGGGTGGGGGTGACCCCAGACAGACAGGGCAGTGCTAGCCCTTCCCAAGGGATTCTCACACCCAAAACTCCATCCAAAAGCCTGATGCAAAAGGTATCTGTGTTAAACAACGTTCCCCTTTGAATCACTGGAATTCTGTGATCAGCTTGATAACAGAAACACATCGTAGTGAGCCTGCAGTCTTAATACTTTAATATGCTGCCAACAGAACTGGACAATCTCTTTAATCTTTGGACCACGTGTGCACAGCACAGATTTTGGTAACATGAAACTCACTTGTATATAGGCAGGCAAACATCTGCATTACTTTGCTGCTTTCCCCTGGTCTGAAGGCAGAGATTTATTTAATGTTCCTTGCTGTGCCCCCACCCCATCCCCCCTTCCCTGACTGCTCAGGGAGGCCAAGCAAGACATTTTCCTTCTCCATGTACTTGAAGTGCTTGGCATCTGTTTATATTGTTCCAAACGCTGAGATAATCTTCCAGGCTCCCTTCCCAAAGCGCCTGGGAGGAAACAATTGACACATAGTCTCAATGCTCTGGGCTCCTGGGACATTTCCGACTCACCAGGGGAAGCCAGCCTTTCCCATGAGAACCACTGCCTGGGAAGCACAACGTGACACAGGGAGCACGGAGCTGAGTGCTGAGCTTGGGGTAACCCAACCTTCTTCTCTTGTACAGCCAGCACAGCCCTCCCCAGGACATCCACGACCCTCTGTGTGCACCTCCTGACACCAAAACCCCACCTGTACCACGCACACACCGAGCTGCAGGTCCTGGTGGCACCTGCTCTCCTCTCCTGCTCTCCTGCTTCTTTGGACTTACGCTGATTTTTGTGACCACAGAGAATGCTTACTGTGCCCCAAGTCCACAACAAAATCGTTTCATCTGATTATTAATAAAACAAAATGCAGTCATCATCAGGTTTTCTCCTGGAAAAACTCAGTTGAAACCGCGTCTTTTGCTTTACTAAGAGCTACTGAAGAAGAGCAGCTCATGACTCAGCACCCAGATTTGGAGTTTGGGCACAGGAGACTCGCTGAATCAGTTCTACTGATGAAAACCCACTTGTGTATCACCCAGCTGAGGTTCTGTGAAATGCAGCATGCCCTCCCTGCCTGCAGGAGTATCTGCTCATCATCATCATCAAGGCTAGGCTGGACAGGGCTTGGAGCAGCCCAGTCTAGTGGAAGGTGTCCCTGCCCATGGCAGAGGGGTGGAATAAGATATTCTTCCAACCACAACCATCCTGAGAGATCACTTCATTGTGATCCTCTCTATTTTTAAGCACTAGCTCTTTTTTAAAAAAGGTACTAGGGAATGGTTTTGGCTCAGCAAAACCAAAACTCAGTCACTTGGAGACAGGAGCTGAAAGTTATGGGATCAAAGGATAAAGTCTGCCTGCTACATCTAAGAAGGAATCCTTTCCACATGACTGGATTCTTGAGACTCAGAGCGTGGTAAGACCAGCTCATAAAGAATCTCACGCTGGCACCTTAGAAGAAAACAAGATCAAAATCTAATATTAAAAATGTATAAAGGACTGAAAATAAGCTGAGCATTAGCAGTTTTCACCCAGCCCTTGTTTATCCCTTTAAAGACTCCTTTGCAAAGAACAGGGAGAGTCACATTAAACCTGATCAGACTCCAACAGGTCCATGTGGTTACAGCTGGCCACAAAGCCAAAATCATCTCCACCAGCTCTGGTCAGATATTTTGGGCCACCTGAAAAATGAGCTGTGCTCAGGATGCCCCAGCCATGTCACTTAGAGGCTTATGGCATGGGGCTGGAATGAGATGACCTTGAAGGTCTCTTCCAACCCAAACCACTCTGTGATTCCATGAAAGATGGGACCTTCTCAGCCCATTTTCACAGCCCAGCCATCAGTCTTATTCCCAGGTGGAACTGAAAGCCTCAGGTCCATCTCAGCCCCATCTAACATCTCTAGATCTGCTCTTCAGTCACACCAGAGGGGCCACGTCCTTCGTCAGCAGAAGATGGCATGGCTTTGTGCCCAAGGAGGTGTCAGCACACAGCCAAACCCACAGAGAGAGGTGGCACCAGCCAGGACACGGCCAGGATCACAGCCACGTCAGTGTGCTTTAGAGCACCTGCTTTTCCAACCTGGGGTTGGTGCAAAAGGTGCTTCCCATTTTGTGTGAGAACCAAAGAAAATTAACAATACAAAAAAAGCCCACGGCTCAGGAGGACAAATAAATCAGGGGGATGATCCATTTTAAAGGGGAGATACTAAAAGTAGCGCTAAGGAGGTCCCAAACTAAGCCCTGCTTAGTTTCAAATCAGCTCAAGAAATAAGAACAAAAGGCCACGCCGTCACGTGCCGGGTGCCCTTAGCTCTACCTGGTTATAGAGGGGTTTCCAGCTGCTGGCAGCAGCAGAGGGGCAGGACCTGCACCCCAACCAGCTGCCCCTTCCAGGCCACAAGCTGTTCTGCACCCCCAGGATGGGATGCACAGCCAGCAGATCTGCTCACACCTTGGCAGAAACAAGGAACGCAAGGACCTCCCCCAGCACTATGCAAAAGCCACAAGCTACTCCCATTCATGCACGTGGACAGAGACACTGAGTCTCCAGGGAAAACCAAACCATCATCAGTCCTCTAGACAGGATGCCCAGGCACAGCCCCCCCAGCAGTCCCCACAGGGTTTTCAAAACACGCTGGTATTCAAGTGGCCGATTTTCCATGCAAGTAAAAATCCAGCGGTCAGGGAAAAGGCAGAAGGATTCACCGAGCGCGTTGTGGAAATCTGAACAAAACTGAATGCACTAGTTGGAGACAGATCAAATCCAAATCCCTTCTCCTATAAAGAACAGTAGTATGCAATTAACCAATTCTTCTGTGTTGTGGCAGTTTGCCAAGGAAAAGGGTCAGCATGAATCCATCAGGCGATGGGAACAAGGACCATAAGGCTGAGTAGCAGGTTCACGGACCTGTGATAAATGGCTCCTGATAAATGCCATCAGGAGATGAGTCTGCCATGAGGGAGAGACAGGAAAGGGCAAAACATAAAACAGAGGCTTCAGCAGAGACAATCCTGAGCTACTATGCCGTAGAAAAA